CACGTGGGTGGGGTGTCAGCTTCACTCAGCTTCACAAACACACCTGTACATGTTCACATGCACACTCCCAGCTCCACGTGCACACTCATACTTCCTCTGGAGACAAAGACAGTCAGTGGTGTGACATTCCTGTCCACCAGGGGACATGTGATGATGTAATGTGTCCCTGTCTGTCCTCAGCCAGAGAGGGGACATGTAATGATGTAATGTGTCCCTGTCTGTCCTCAGCCAGAGAGGGGACATGTAATGATGTAATGTGTCCCTGTCTGTCCTCAGCCAGAGACTTCAGTCACAACATCCACAGTGTCATCTACAGATGGAACCCTGAGACAAAGGTACTGTCCAAAGCTGTCCCCACCTTTATGTCCCAACATACATGTCTCACATGTCTCACTCTGAAACATGTCCACATTAGTCCTGATCCTGTCCTGGTCTGTCCTGTTGTTTTATTCTTAAAGATTGTCTTGTTCCTCTGCTACGTTGGACTCTTGTGTGTCTTTCATTGCTCATGTCTCTCTGTCCTTGTCTTCATCCTTCCTGTAGTCCTTTTGTCCTCTTCCTTCTTGTCCTGAAGCTTTTACGTGTCTGTCCTTGTCCTTCAGGGCTGTCCTCTGTGGTTCTGATAAACCCATGTTCCTGTGTCCCAGCTGTTTGAGGTGAACCAGACTCTGTCCACATCTGGAGCGTATGACTGGGAGTTCTTCTCTGTGGGACCGTACGACTTCCTGGTGGTGGCCAACACGTTCGATGGTCGCAGCACCACCCTCAGCTCCACCATCTACGTCTGGCTGGACGGACGCTTCCGGACCTTCCAGAACATCACGGTCAGTGTCTCTGCTCTTTGTGGGACAGGTCTGCTGGTCTGGATCAAGATCTGGATGGTCTGACAGTTCTATCTGTTGCTGAATGATCACACTTTGTCCCTGAGGACAGTGGACATGTCCATCCCTCTGGACAGGACCACAAAGAGACACAAGGTGTGAGACCCCATCTAGACCTGAACCTTTAGGCTGGTCCAGTCTTAACTTGGTTGTTCTCAGACCCGAGTCTATCAGACCTGAGTCTCCATCAGACCCGAGTCTCCATCAGACCCGAGTCTCTGTCAGACCTGAGTCTTTGTCAGACCTGAGTCTCTGTCAGACCTGAGTCTCTGTCAGACCCAAGTCTTCGTCAGACCTGAGTCTCTGTCAGACCCAAGTCTCTGTCAGACCTGAGTCTCTGTCAGACCCAAGTCTCCGTCAGACCCGAGTCTCTGTCAGACCTGAGTCTCTGTCAGACCTGAGTCTCCGTCAGACCCAAGTCTCTGTCAGACCTGAGTCTCCATCAGAACTGAGTCTCTGTCAGACCTGAGTCTCTGTCAGACCTGAGTCTCTGTCAGACCCGAGTCTCTGTCAGACCTGAGTCTCTGTCAGACCTGAGTCTCCGTCAGACCCAAGTCTCTGTCAGACCTGAGTCTCCGTCAGACCCAAGTCTCTGTCAGACCTGAGTCTCCATCAGAACTGAGTCTCCATCAGACCCTTCAGACAAACTGTTGGAGGTTCAGGAAGTTCTGGTTCTGTCTGGACCTGTGACTCATGTAGCTCCAGAGTCTGGATCAGAAGCTGTGGTGAACTGAGGTCTGTGACCTGCAGCCGTCTGTCTGTAATCAAACCTTTCATGTGAGGACTCATGAGCAGACATGAAAGAAGGATCAGCTTCATGTGAAGATCAGAGGACAGGAAGTGACTGAGTCCAGCTGTCAGGGACTTTCCAGATACTCAGAGACTTTGAGAACCTCTTCAGTCCTCCTTAACAGCTAGAGGACAGGAGGACAGATAGACCTCCTTCATCTTCAAACAGACTGTTGTCCCAGCACTGTGGACCCTCCCACAGGTGGACTCACCTGGTACACCTGGATCACATTGTTCTCTTAAATGTAAACAGTTTTTATTGTTGTTTCATGGTGTGTGCTGCTGACCTGTTGACCAGGTCACCTGTGGAAAAAACATCTGGACCTCAAAGAGTTTATCTGTTAGATAAAGCTGATTATTGACCCAGGTGTTTGTCCACCTGTCCTCCACCTGTAAAACCTTAGTCACCTCCTTTTCTCTGTTCAAGACCCTGCAGAGAAGTCCTGTTTCCCACAGTCCCTGTACCTGAAGACGCACTGGGACAGGCTTCAGTCTCCTGAAGGGGGTCTCTCTGGGGTCTCTGTGGGGTCTCTGCAGACAGACTGGGACATGTTTCAGTCTCCTGAAGGGGGTCTCTGTGGGGTCTCTCNGTTTGTTTGTTTGTTTGTTTGTTTGTTTGGTTAGTGTCGCTGGGATCAGGTGGCCCAGCAGCAGGCCCAGTTACTGTCAGTGTGGAGGTCTGTGGTGGATCTGAAGAGACTCTGTCACACAGTGAAAACAGGTGCTGACAGGTGAGTTTTACCTGCAGACTGACAGGTGAGTTCAGGTGAGCTCAGGTGAGCTCAGGTGGGAGGTTTGGATCAGACTCATGGAGGTGTTCTTGCAGGGATCTCTGGAACCTCAGAGCTCAGTTCTCCAGACTCTCCTTTGAGCTCCTCTCCAGCTGCTCCTCCCTGAGGCTCAAAGCTCCACACAACAACGCCTCCTCTCCTCCTCTCTCCTCCACGCTGGTTTTCCCTCCTCCAAACTCCTCTCCACCTCAGCTTCTCTCCTCCTCGACCCAGGGAACCTTCTCCATGGAGGAGCTGAGGGAGGAGCAGCAAGGAGAAGACGAGGAGCGAGAGGGGACACAGCTGGAGCTCCTCCATGAGACTGAGGTGTTGGGTCTGCAGCAGAGGTAAGTACTCATCATGATGGTCCAAACTGCAGGAGGTTCAGATATTCACCTCCTTTCTGTTAGGATGGAGGAGCTGACCGGTTCCTTGCAGACTGTGGACACAGAAGAGGAGGTGAAGCAGTTAAAGGAGTGTGAGAGGAGGCTGCAGTCTGTGTCTCAGGCTGTGGTCAGACTGGTGAGGTTCTCCTCCACAAACAGCTGCTCTCCTTTAATCCACAGCAGATTACAGCTCCTCAGTCACTGGTTTGTCTCCAGTCCAGGGTCCTGACCACCACTGGCAGCAGTCAGACCGTCTCCTCCGACAGTGTCCTCAGCCTGGACCTGTCCTCCTTGCTGTCGGTTCTGTCTCAGGCTGAGAGTGTCCTGCAGTGGAAACATGAGGAGCTGCAGGTGAGTTCTTCAGGTGTGTCACTGAAGTCTGTTCAGAGACCAGATTTCATCAAACACATGGATGAAAGGTGTCTGCACACACTGAGACCCTTCTGAGGAGGTCTGAGGAGGTCTGCACCACTTTGATCATTCCAAAGTAACAATGTAATCAAACAACCAGTGATTAATTGTTGAAAAATGGTTTATTAAATTAAAATTCCTTCCATTCGATTCATTGATGACGTGTGTCGACACGTCACAAACACTGTAATCTGTCATCAGTTTTCTTCTCTCAACATGTAAAACCATCAACACAACCCGTCTTTTTCTGTCTGAGGACCAAAGTTATTTATCAAGCATCAAAACATCTACTGGATGAAAAATAAACATTAGCTGAACTTGAATGAAGTATGATGGTGATGTAGAAACAATGTGGCCCACCTGATCCAGAACCAAGCTGTAGGACCTCCTCCTGCTCCTTCCCTAAATCTGACATAAACTCAGTTCATACCTTAGTCCTAAACCCAGTACCAGACCTACTACTGGAGAGTACCAGTTATCAGTGTGTGTGTGTGTGTGTGTGTGTGTGTGTGTGTGTGTGTGTGTGTGTGTGTGTGTGTGTGTGTGTGTGTGTGTGTGTGTTCAGGTGGCAGGGATACGAGGGATTTGTCCCGGTCCACAGTCTGCCCACGTTTGGCTGCAGGGACTGGGAACACTTCAGAACCAATGAAGGTTCCTTCCTCGTCTACTCCAGCGCCACGTCCAGGCTCAGCAAGGTCTTCAGACTCAGAACCTTCTGATGGAGTCCATCTGCAGACTGGACGGACACCACTGAAGACCATAGAATCCTCTGGACAGAAGACATCAGGAGGTTGAGGACAGAGCTCCAGGAATCTGAACTGCTCTGGATCCTCAAACCATCAAACTTTGTTCAACAGGAGATCCTGTCTAACCAGGAGGACCACAGTCCTGGTCCACATCTCCTGGCACATACTGTATCTACTCAACAACAACTCCTAGTCCATAACTCCTGGTCTTCATCTTCTGGTCCAGAAGTCCTTTTCCACAACTCCTGGTCATGGTCCAGTCCTCCCATCCTTCTGTTTTCCCTCCGATGAACCAGATGTTCCTGTAGTCTCAGTGGATCTGGACCAACAGTTCTCCTTCTTGTTCCTGATCGTTTTCAAATTGACTCTGACCTCTGACCCTAACTGAGACCTCTGACACCCGCTGAGCAGAACTTTTAAATATCTCCTCCAAATGAACATCCTCTAGTCGTCCTAAAGACTAACGTGGATATCATGTTTGTTCCCTCTGGGTTTAAAATAATGAGATGTTTTGTTTCTGCAGATGTTTTGACTCGTTTCTGTTCGTTTGTTCCTGTTCTGTTCTAAATAAATCAGTAAACTGAGTTCAGATCAGCAGGGATCATAAACTAAAACAAATATTTATATAAAGGAACATTTAACCTCAGGTCATGAAGCTCCAGTCAGCGAAGACTTAAATCTTTATTTTTGTTTTTATTAAAACAGATTTATAAATTCTTACGATCAACATTTTCTATACCTGAAGTAAATATAAATATTTTATTACACGTGAGATCTTTTATAATTTATTTTATATATTTTAAGACTTGGTTTAAATGTTTATTTAAATTGCTTTGTACAGATTATGTTGTTTTAAGCTACACAAATAAAGTCATTTTCATTTAAACACTCTTCTTATTTTGTTTAACTGTTGTTTTGAAGTCAATGTAGTTTATTATTAAAATGTGAGTTCCAGGCAGTGAGTCCTTCCTCCACAGCGCCCCCTGCTGGAGGGAAGGACTCACTGCCTGAGGAGCAGTGAGTCCTTCCCTCCAGCAGGGGGCGCTGTGGAAACTGCCTGAGCTTATTTTAGTTCAGTGTCCGGGTGGAAGGTGAAGCTCCCGGTTTGAAAGTTTAAACAGTAGATTCGTCCCGGTAACGGAGAGAACCGAAGTTTTTACCGGTGGCGGTTTGTAGCTGGAGCCCGCAGCTACAGGAAACAGGTTTGTTGTGTTTCCGGTGTTAGCATCATGCTAACAGTGGTCAGCCGTTTGTTTTGTTGGTGTTTGGCTCTGAGAGCAACACCTGTGTACCTGTCGGATTAAAACCGAGTGGACCCGACTGACAGAGATTAATTCAAACTTTACAGGTAAAATTAAAGATCAAATCTGCAGCTTTACGGAGGTAAATATATTTGTTTTAGTTCTGTTTTCATAGATAAATAAATGCACCAAACATCAGTAACTATCATGATGAGATAAACTAATATATCTATTAATTCAAAGTTTACATTTTATTTATTTATTGTGTCCTTTATTATCTGCTGTATTAATCTGATTTTTAAATATTTATATTTAGTGTCAGTTTCACTCCAACTCCAACATGGAACAGATCAAAACCTGTCAGGTTAAAATCTGATTTAAAATTATTTTCCTGACAGGATGGAGTCTGAGCTCCTGATTGGCTGGCAGCAGCAGAAGGCGGAGCTTGAACAGGAAGTGTGTCGTCTGCAGGAGGAGCTGGCGGAAAGTCGAGCAGAGCGGGAGGAGCTGGAGTCCAGGAGCAGAGCCCTGACTGACAGGGTGAGGAGGAGGAGGAGGAGGTCATGTGTTCATCAGGTGAACACATTATCACACCTGTTTCTCTCCTCAGCTGCGTCACACGCTGTCTCCTTCACTCAGCACCTCCATACATGAGCAGGAGGAGCAGAGGAGGAGGAAGCTGAGGGAGGGCCGGGAGAGGGAGGCTCGACAGGCACTGCTCATCCATCGTCTGCAGAACAAGGTGAGGACCCTGGGAGGTCAGGCTNTGGGGTCTCTGCAGACAGACTGGGACAGGTTTCAGTCTCCTGAAGGGGGTCTCTCTGGACAGACTGGGACTGGTTTCAGTCTCCTGAGGGGGGTCTCTGTGGGGTCTCTGTGGACAGACTGGGACATGTTTCAGTCTCCTGAAGGGGTTCTCTGTGGGGTCTCTGCAGACAGACTGGGACAGGTTTCAGTCTCCTGAGGGGGGTCTCTGTGGGGTCTCTCCGGACAGACTGGGACATGTTTCAGTCTCCTGAGGGGGGTCTCTGTGGGGTCTCTGTGGGGTCTCTGCAGACTGTGGGAGCGACGGACTGGGAGGGGTTTCAGATCGATGGCAGGTACTTCCTGGCTGTGGCCAACAGTCAGCAGCTGTCCAGTCGTGGTCCAAGTCTCTACAACATCAACTCCACAATCTACGAACTCAACACCTTCACTCAGACCTTCATCCGCTTCCAGGACATCCTGACTCACAGGTGAGCTCACCTGTTCCTCAGATCCTGCTGGGACACCTGGAGGACCAATCTGACCAGGCTTTAAGGACCAAAACAACTATGAAACACCCAGACTGTTGTTTGAGTGTTGTTAACAGTTTGTTGTTGTTGTTGTTGACTGTGTTGTTGTTGTTGTTGTTGTTGTTGACTGTGTTGTTGTTGTTGTTGTTGTTGTTGTTGTTGTTGTTGACTGTGTTGTGTGTTGTTGTTGTCAGCGCTGTGGACTGGGAGTTTTTCACCGTTGGAGATGAGAAGTTCTTGGTCGTGGCAAATTCTCATGACGGCAGCTCATACTCTCTGAACAGTGTCGTCTACAGGTGTGTTTACTTCCTGCCTACCTGTGCAGGTGTATGTGAGCTGAGCCCGTTATGTGACCTGTGTGTGTGTGTGTGTGTGTGTGTGTGTGTGTGTGTGTGTGTGTGTGT